TCTTTTGCTAATTGTTTTCAGTTCGACAAACACACAATAAGCCACGAATATACAAAGTCCTCAGGTTTCAACTTTTCTCTTCTTATACATTATCAAGTTCGGTCTCTTACTTTTCTCTTCTTTGTTTTCTTTTCCCTTTTAATACTTATTATTTTTGTCTTTTTTGCTACCAATTCTCAGTCTGTCTCTCTCTCTCAGTATTTCCTCTCATTATTCATCTTGTTATATCTGTCGTTTGGTTGAATAAGCAGAAAGAAAACTAGTTCGAGAAAGAGATATCCATGTAATTAGCGATATCTCTTTGTCCTAAACACCAAATTGATCTTCATTGTGCTTTTCTTAAGTCAATGGTCGCTCATCAATGAGAAGAGTGTTGAAAATTATTTATTCAATTGAATTTTACCAAAAAATAGAGAAAATAACACATTGTTCTAGAACTTTTAATGTATTCGCTACCACTGACCACCCATTTGTTCATTCATTGTTTCTCAATGGTCTGGAAAGTCCAGAGCGAGAGAGAGAGAGAGAGAGTATAACAACGGAAGATGATAAAAGTATATAAAAGCAACTAAATATTAGAAGAAAAAAAAACGCAATCGCATCGTTGGAATCACTTTCATGTTACTTTTGTTTGTCTTCTTTATTTTTCTCATTAAATGTGAGGTCCAATTGATAAACAAAAGCGAGTTTTTCATCATCATCATTAGCAAGAGCATCAATATCTTTTATCTTTCTCTCTCTTAATACATTATCATCTCTCCCAGGGAAACTCTTTTCTTCTCTCTCTCTCTCTCTCTCCTCTCTTCTTCATCATCTTCTCATCTAAGGTCACGCAATGTTCCGTGTGAAAGTCGATTGAACAATTGACATTGAACAGAAGCTTTAAGACAGAGACAGAGACAGAGAGAGAGAGAGAGAGAGAAGAAAAAAAAATCTAACTGCAAAAGATAAAAAGTGACTTTTAACTAAGAATCTTCGCTTTTTTTTACGATTGATTAGTATTATTGATATCACTGACATCTTCGCCCTCAAGGTATAAAAATAAAGCATAAAATTATCTTAAATGCATCTACATTATTTACGTGATTTGAAGACAAAAAAAGTTTATCTTGATTTAGTTTATCAACTAATATCAACCATCCAGGATAAAAAGAAAAGGTAATATCAAGTTTAGTAAAAGAATGAGGAAGCTTTTCATTTGTTACCTTTACCTTTGTTGTTGTTATTTAGTAAATGACACAATGATAGATCTGATGATGAGCATATAATGATAATAATAAGAGTGATAATGGTGTTTATTATATTATCCAGATTAATTAGAATGAGAGATATTCATGATCTTTGTCAGGGGAAACAAATTTAAAACGAGAATTGGTCACCAATTGTTGAATATATACAATACAACTTGTTATTCAATGTTAATTGCAAATAGTTGCATTATTAATACATAATATTATCATGATGATAATGATGATTATCATTATGATGCATTTCAGTAAATCGTATGTGTGTATTTGCCTTATAATTTTAATCTATTTTTGTTTTTTCCATTAGCAGAATAGACTCATTAAAGGTTATATATATTACTTTTTTTTTTGCTTCTTCTTCACTTTGGTTATCATTAAGTGTAAAAGGCAAGAGGAAAGAAAAAGTTTAGCGACAGTACAACTTGTTTCATCTACTAATCTCTATGTAAGGTCACTAATACGGGCAGTAAAAGGTCAGGTAATAAGGTCGTTCATTTGCAGAGTGAGAGATATATTATATATTCCAGTTTGCATTTTTGTAACAATTGTCGATTAAGTGAAGTGCAGACCGTAAGATTATGATCTGTTGTATTGAGAGCTAAAAATTAGAGGGACTAAGGAAAATGCAACCGATAATCAAATGATAATACTAAATAGGGATACACAATAAGCAATAGATATCAAATGTTTGATGGTTTATGCTGATAGCGGTATTAAGAGAGAGAGAGAGAGAGAGAGAGAATGAGTGAGAGATGGAAAATGAGATGAGGAAGAGAGATGAAGATGAGGATGAGGATGATGAGAGAGAGAGTAAAGCAACTAAATACACCCAATATCTTGGGAGTAAAAAGATTATGATGTTGATAGTGATAGTGAATTTGAAATAAAATGAAGATAAAAAGTGTGATGATGAAATTGGAATTGGTTGAATAATCAGATTGATGATACTAATGTGAAAACAATCACAATTGTTGTTATCATTATATTATTATCTTGCTTACAATTAGTCGGCATCTCTGTTTGCAGGATAAATCAAACAAATAAATAAATAGATTGATATCAATTGAGGGATTTGATTGGTGAAAATCATCATCATCAAAATGATATGAAAGAAAAAAAAATGACAAACATTGTGATTGAGATAACATAGTGTGTATGTCAAAGGTAACTCGATAAAACAACAGAATCTTTTATAGAAATGGTGTGGATGAGGATGGAGATGTTGGTGGAAAGAGGATAGAAGGAGGAAGAGAGAGAGAGAGAGAGAGAGATGATGATGATGATGTTGATGGAATATAAAACTTTGATCGAAAGTGTAAACAAAGTCTTTTATAGATTAGAATAGAGATGGTGAAGGATAAATGAAGAGGTTAACAAAGGATGAATGGAGAAGAAAGAGAAAAAAATAGAAGATGATGAAGATGATAAGAAAAGAGAAGAAAAGAAGATATTGAACCTATATGACGATAAAGTAACATACAGGGAGGGAGATATTCCTCTGAACTTTTTTTCTTTTTCTTCTTCTTCTCCTTTTGTTTGCGCAAGAGCTTTTATCTCTTACATGAGTTTTTTGTTCTTCTCTTTTCTTTTTCTGTCTTTTATCATTCTTTTTTCTCTCAATTCACTTTACTTATCCTTCTTGTCTCCATCATCATCATCTTCTTCATTTTCTTCTATCTTTAAAGGGAGAGAATCGTGTATGTGGTGGAGGAATAGAGAGAGAGAGAGAGAGAGAGAGAGAGAGAGAGAGAGAGAGAGAGAGAGAGAGATGATTCTCAGAATATTATCATGAAAAGAGACTCAGCACACATGTATTTTTGGAGATCTAAAGAAGAAGAAAAAACTGACAAGGTAGAATAAATTATTTCGCCAGAACGTTGCCATGGTTACCAATGTAAACTTTTCTTCGTTAATGTTGATGTTGTACAATTCGATTAATTAGACTGATAGATTGAGTGTGTCAAAAGTGTCAAACGAAGAAAAAACTTGAAGAAATCATCATCATCATCTCTCTTTCTCTCTGTCTCTCTCTCATTTGCTCCCTTTTCTCAAAGTGATGATATCATTGAGTCTCACTGAGTATGAATATTTAGCTGAAAAGTTTGAGGTGAATAAGAAAAATGTTAAGTATTTTTTGAGTGAAAGCAGAAGAAAAAAAGTAAGACATTTTCATGAGGCATAATTGAGGAAAGAAAGGGAATTTTTCAGGATGATGAGAGAGAGAGAGAGAGGATGAAGATGATGATGATGATGAGAAAGAGGGAGAGAGATAATAAGGTGAAGGGTGAGATACTGTGAGAGAAGCGTGAAAACTGAAATAGTGGAAAAGAGAGAGAAAGATTGAGCTTCGAAAGTAACATTTTGATGGTTATAATGAGCATTTGACATTCTTTTTTACAGTTAAATGGAAAATATCAGTTTATCATCGATAAAAATTGAAATGGGATAACCGAAAATTTGTCAAAATTATGTTACTTTTAAACCTAAATCACAGTTAATAATAAAATGTATTAATTTACCGTTAATAATCATCACAATTTGTTACATTTACCAAAACAAAAATTGAAAAAGACAATGATAAAAAGTGTGATAAACAATAAATCAACAAATTGACTCTTATCAGTTTAATCAGTGTCATAATCTAATGAAAATGGTTATGCAAAAATAACCAGTAATTAGCTACGAGGGATTATCTGATTATCCTTCATTGTCATCATTGTAATTTGGATTAGTGAGCTGAAAGAAAAGATGGAGAAAACAAAAAGTTTCCCTCTTCCATCATTCTAAATATTAACCATAACAAGGAAGATGATGATGATGATGATGACGATGAGGGAGAAAATCATCTTCACCTTTGCCAAAAAGGACAAAAATATGATGATAGACATTTCTGATTACTCGCTAATTTGACAGTTAATCAACATCTATTAACCCATCTTCTTATTGTAATTCAACCTGATTAAAAGAGTTGATAAATATTATTTTTAGATTAATCTACCTAATTAACTATCTCTCTCTCTCTCTCTCTCTCTCTTGATAACCTTATCTGAGATTCTGTTGTTGTTTTCCTTTCATTTTATCAACGAATCTCATATTTCATCAATCTCCTTTTCTTTTTCCTCTCACAACCACAAGTAAAAGATATTATCATCTTCATCCTCATCATCATCATAATTGTGATGATAAATTTTCAATGAAATCGTTGATAAGATATTTGCCTTAGTTGAATCAATTGTATCATAACTCATAATCACTTTCATCTTCCATCACCAATTATCATTATCAATAAGCAAAACTTTTTCATCTTCATCTTTAATCAGATTAAATTATTACTTTAATTGAAATCTATTCTGTTAACAAAATGATAGAGAAACAAAAAAAAACCAGCAAAAAAATCAGATAATAAACATCAATGTCATCAATATTATCTGTTAATCTTAATCGCAAATCTTAAATTATTATTTATAGTTGAGAAACAATCTAAAACCTTATACAAGAAAAAAAAAGTTAACCAGTAAGTTGAACAATGTCAACGATTGTCTTGATCCAATCCGACATTAATAATGATAATCAATTAATCTCGCATCATATGTTCACTGTCAATTATGAAACAATTGATTGTGTTGACAATGTTATTATCTTGTTTGAAAAGAAGAAGAAGATGAAGAAAAAAAGATGAAGATGAAATTGTTGTGTATCTTTTCCGTTTCCGGTTATTATTATCATCATCATCACTTGCAAACAAAATGTTTTCTCTTTTATTATTATTTTTCTCTCTCTCTCTCTCTTCATGGTGTAGGTTGAAAACTTTGAACCAATCAAACCTTGAGTGCGTTTCTCACATGCTCACATTATGTAAGTTCATCTTGCTGCCTTTTTGTCAGGTAAGTTTGAGCAACTCGAGGAGCGTAAGCGACGCCCAAATAGGGAGCTGAGTGAGAATTTGCTCCTTTGATGGAAAAGCATCAAATCTGCTATAACATGTTTATCTCTTTGAAATATGAATTCGTACTTGTTGTTCTACTTTTTTTTGTTTTTCCAAAATTTGACGAATATTGTGAAAAGTTCTATTTGTGAAGATAATCATCTTACTCATTGTTCTCATCATCATCATCACCCTCATCATCCTCATCACCCTATCATCACCTTAGTACCACCACCACAATCAACAGCAACAACAACAACAACAACAATAACATCAACACTAGAATCATTATCATCACAAACAACATAATAACAGCAAGAGAAACAACAACAACAACAACAATAGCAAATATCAACAATCATCTTAATTGTTTCAACACTTTAAAAGTTTTAATTGTGATTTTATTTTTTCAATTTGCATCACTTTTTATCGGATATGTCGGCCAAGCGTAAAAGCTTACCAACCAAAATATCAAAAAGCTCATCGGATTTCATGGAAGTTCAACATGGAGGAATTTCAAATGCTCATCAAAAAATCAGATTCATTTTCAAGGTGACCTTTTTTTTTACACAAATTCTTTACCTTTCCATTGAGAGAAATCAATCAATTGTGATTATTTGCTATTAACGAACAAATATTTTTGATTCTTTTGCTTTCTATTCTAATAATTTCGAGTGACAATACTGAACATTTATGTGTTTACATGGAAATTGATGATGAATTTTTTGCTGAATGAATGAAAGTTCCGCTTATAAGAAAGGATTAACTTGTGAGATTATAAAAAAGAGAAGAAAGAAAAAAACTTTGAAACTTTTTCGAGCTCACAAAATGTTCACTTTGTACAAATGAATTTCGTTTTTTTTTCTCATAAGTTTTTCTATTGAAATGTTTCTTCAAGAGTAAGCAGAAAACATTGTAACAATTGACAGAGAAGGATAGAGAGAGAAAGAGAGAGATAAAGTTATATAATCACTTGAAGTGTTGTTAGAATCAAAGATTTTCACCATAATCTGAACAATTTGTGAAAAAAAAGTTCTATGAAAATAATGATAAAAACAAGAATAAGTTGCTAGCCAATCAATCAAAATAAAGGAGGATAAAAACAGTTGAGATGAAAAAAAGGAAAACCTTAGCTTATGAGTTTCATGGATGATGATTATGATGATAAAAACTATGATTATGGTGATGATGATGATGATGATGGTGGTGGCGGTGGTAGTGATGATTATGGTGTAAATGGCGTTGATATAAGTGTTAAGCTGTTTCTTGTTAAGCTGCTTCATTGATTCCGAGTGAGAGGATGATTAAGAAAAGAAGAGAGAAAATGTCTCCCTTGCCACCCACCCTTACACCCTCTCACCTCCCCATGAACACCTTATCTAACATTAACTCTCCACCTTGGGAGGGCATTTCCTCATCTTCCTCACTCTTTCTCTTCCTCTCTCTTTCTCTCTCACCGTAAAAGTCAATGTGACTTTTTTGCTGTTGGATTATTGAAACCATTAACTCGATACAGGAAAAGAACAAGAAAAAAATTGTTTCCACCGTAACCAAAGTGATATATATAATCATCCTTGTTGACAATATTAAATATCATCAAGATGAAGGAGATTGAGTGAGAGAGAGAGAGAGTGAGTGAGTGAGTTGAAATGATGACGAAGAGATTGGAGAGCAATTTAGTGAGCAAACTGTTGGTTCCATATTTTTGTGTTTTTCGTTGGTTCCTTTTGGATATTAATGTTTCCTTTTTTTCATGACATTTTTTTATTCTTTTTGATTGAAAAGTTCTACTTGATTCTTTGAATTGAAGAGTCAACATCAGCTGTAGGTTAACTTAATCACTTTGACAGTAAACAAAAAAAAAAGGTTAAATTAACATGTTGCTTAGAGAAATAGTTTACAAAATGATTTCATGTTAATCATTTTCTATTTTTTGCTTTTCTCTTAATTTGCAAACTTCTTACACTCCTACACTTTTTTTATCATCATCATCATCATCTCTCTCATTCTCTTTGCATGATAATTAATATCCTACATGTTGTATCTTCTTGTTTAGATGAAACTCATTCTGCCGATGCGATTTTGCAGTTTTTGCTTTCTCATCTTTCATCACTCACCAAATGGATTCATCTATTTGGTGAAAAAGGATGAGGTTTATGTTGAGGTTTTGATGGCGATGATGATGATGAGGGATGAAGATGATAAAGATTGTGACTTAAGCAAAGAAAATATGAATTTGAGTTGAATGATCATTTATCTTCTGGCCTTGATGACTTTTCCTTGTCTTTTTCTTTTCTTTTCTTCTCTCTCTCTCTTCTTTCTTTTCACTCTCATTTACAATCTCCATCTTCATCATCATAATGATTATCATCTGCATCCTCATCACCATCTCTTTATATTACAAGAGTATCCTTTTCATCCTTCACTTTGTCATCATTTTCGGGTTAAACTCTGTTATTGTTTTTCTCATTGCTTTCGTCTTCCTTATAAAACAAACATTCAGAACTTATGTTCAGAAATTAACTCAATCTGATGAGTAGATGATGATAGTGATGATGATGAAAAAAGAGATCATGTCTCTCTCCCTCTAGTTAATGTGATTATTCATCATCTCATTACAAGAAAGCTAAAGATGCAAGAAGATGATAAAAGTTATTCAAAAATTAATGAATAACTAATTTGAAATCCTCTGATTCATGATATGATTGAATATCAGGGTGAAAATCCAACAGAATTATTTGTTTCTCTCTCTCTCTCTTCTATATATACAGTTTACCTTATTTTTTAATTAACAATCCAATTCCCTAATCAGAATTATAAATAATCAGTCAGTAAGTCTTATTATTGGATGAACATAATAAACAGTTTTTTTATTATCATCATGGGTGAAGATGAGAGAGATAAAATAATCATTCTTATCCTTGAATCTAATTACATGATAGAGAGAGAGAGGCAAAAATAATACAATGAATTGAAAATCTCTCGAGAAAGTGAATTGTATCTAAATAAATGATATCAATATCCAAGAATCCGTGGTGGAAACATATCTATGAAAGTTATAGCAAGTGAATTCTGAGAGTAATGATAAAAAAAATATTATTATAAAAAAGTAAGTAGGTAATATATAAGTTAAGTACTTGGAGTGGATGGAAGGTGATTTAATAACCTTTACAGTTATGATATGTTATCGGTCAATTATTTTTCATTTGGGTCAATCTTGTATTATGTATGCATAATGGTATTTGGTCAATGGATCAGTAAGAAGAGGAAGATGATTGTAAGAAGATGAGGAAGAGAGAGAAAGAGAGAGAGAGAGATGAAGATAAAAATGAGCGATGCTTTTTATTGTAACCAAGATGACACTGTGAATATTGAGAGGATGAGGAGGAGGAAAAAGATACTAGATCTTTACTTGAAAAATGTCAATTTAGCTTCCAATTCATCATCTCAAGGGAGACTTTGCTTTCTCTACCACTTCCTTTTTCTCCATCATTTTCTTCACATGATGATAACCTCTTCTCTCTCATCTTCTTCTTCCTCCTTCTCTCTCTCTCTCTCTCTCTCTCTCTTTCTTTCTCTCCATCAATTCCTGTGAGTATTTGTGTAATATGAAGTTTCACCAATTCTCTTTACCAATGAAACATAAGGTTATCTCCATCATCATAATCATCATCTTTTCTGTAATAAGATTTAACCGTCAATCATCATCATGATATACATTGAATTTCATGATGATAAAGATAAAGAAAAAAATTTTTCAATTTTTTTTTCTCTTCTACCTTAAAGTTGTTCAATCAAAGTTCACTGATAACCATGAACATTGAATGACCCAATCATTGAATCAATTGAATTTATAACAAAAAGAAACATTTAAATTATTCATAATAATGGATCTTCAATTGGTCAGCTTCTTTCATCATCATCATCTCCATCATCTTCATCATCCTTCATGATACCTTTTCACCATCTTAATCCGTAATCTCAGTCTCACCTTGAATCTTTATCACCCAAATTATTGTTATAATTAATTTTGTCTTAGAAAAAGTTTCTTAAATATAATTAATATAAAAACAATCAAAATAATTAACTTTAAATTAGATTAACATTTAACCTTATCATTTTTGCTCAATTAAAAAATCAACTTATAACAATTAACTTTATCATTATTAATGAGAATGAGCAGAAACAAAACATTATATTAATATCATGTTTCTTTCACCACATTTATGATTAACATTTAATATCATGATAATTATACAACTATTATCAAGTTATTATCAAATAATAAATCCTGGGCTTGTTAATTGTAGTATTTTTGTTTTGTTTAATATAATTTAATATACGGTAAGGTGAGGCTCAATTTACGCACAATTAGGCTACAAATTTGTTAGAATAAAGAAAGAGAAAAAGAAAGAAAAAAAAGTTTACTTTGTAAGAGCTCATTTAATTACCTGTAACCACCACCTATCAACAGGTAGACATGATGATGATGATGATGATGATGATGATGATGATTGTTAACTCATGCAATCCGAATCAACAACTAAAACAGTAAACAATTTAGTATTATATAGAAATGAAGCAAATTAAACAAATGATAATTAAACTGGAAATTAAATCGCAACAAACAAAAAGTCCAGATCTTAATGATGAGATAATAATAATTATTTTTCTTATACTGTTTTTCCAATCAAACAATTAACTATTAACCGAAAATAATTATCAATTAATATATATATAAAATTAACTGTTCTCATAATTAGTTATATTATTGATATTTAATTATCATCATTATTTTATAATATAATTAGTGTTTAAGACAAAAGGAGTTGTGAGCATTTGAATTTGACCATTTATGAAAATAACTTTCTGATTGTTATCAAAGTGATCGCGATAATTATCATGACAATTAACTTTTACTATTACTTGATTCTGGTAAAAACGTTTAATGTTGATGATGATAATTTAAAATTAATTGTCATGTGATTAGTTAATCAATATTTTGAATAATAATAATGGAAAATTGAATTTCTTCCTCTCTCTCTCTCTCTAAACTTGTTGCTTTTGTTTTGATAACCTTATTATTATTATGATTATGATGATAATTATTATTAACAATCAAGGCAAAAAATGATATGATTTTCCTTAATGAATTGTTTCTGATCATTTTTGATTAGTATTATTATTTTACCTGTTAACCTTAAGGCGTTTATTGTTGATATTATTTAGTTAATTTATATAAATCAACTGAAAATTGTACAAACAGGTAACCAGTATCAAGAAAATTTTCTGTTGTATTATCAAGTCTGTCTTCATCTTCATCAGAACTCAGAATCTTCATTATTATTATTATTATTTCTCATTCTTGTTTTACCTCATTGACCTAATTTCATTGAGCTAATATCACTTTTTTTTGTCTCTCTTTCTCTCTCTTTCATCTTCATCTTTATCATCATCATTATCGCAACTCTAACAGTTGACTGATCGTTCTAGGTCAATCTAATAAAATGCTTTGAGACCTTAAACATACACCAGGTCTCCCTTTTTGTCTTCAATTAATAATCATCAATAGTAATCGATAAATAGTAGAAAAAAACAACAGATGATTAAGTTGATTATCTTCATGATGAAAACGATGCTGATGATAATCTCTCTCATTTGTATCTTTGTACTAATGTTATCATTTATTGTCTTTCCTCTCTCTCTCTCCTCTCCATTTCTCTCTCTCTCTCTCACGTGACTTGAATTGATACAAATTTAATTTGATGATAATTAACCTGATCAGTTACAAGTTTGTTCAAATTCGAAGATTTAATTTTAGGTTATCATGAGCTTAGAAGATGAGTAAAGTAAGAAAAAAAGAATGATGATAATTGAATGATGAAGAGAATAGTTTTTTAGCATCTTCATCTTCTTTCTCTCTCTCACTCTCTCTCCATAAGTAGAAGAAAAAAAAACTAAAATGAGATTATAAAGTCTCACAAATTATATTTACGTTAATCCCTTTTCATCATTATCATGTTTCATGTTTTCCATTATTAATAATGATTCGTATAAATATTTTATAGGTAAAGTTATTCAATAATCAGAGTGAAGATAAAATAATTTTATTATCACTAATAAACTTTGATTAATTAATGATAACGAAAAATTTTAGTCAATTATAACTAATTAAATTTAATTGTTGGAATGATTGTCTCTCTCTCTCTTTCTTGATTCTATCTTTCAATGTTAATTGTCAGAGAGAGAGAGAGAGAGAGAGAGAGAAAGAGAAACAATATTGATAATAATCAATTTACTTCATCATCATCATTTACCTGTGTCGTTTATCATGATGATGATCACCGAGAAGAAGAAAATTAAGAAAAAAAAGTTCTTTTATCTGATTATTTAAGAAGACAGAATAAAATAGAAATATATTTAATGGTGATAATTAATTTTCTCTTAAATTGTTGACGTTTCAACGTTTCTATAAAAACTGATTACTTGTTATAATTCAATCAAAGAAGAAGAGAAATTAAATTAATAGTTGATTCTATTGAAACATGTTCCATGTTCAGTGATGATAATTGTTATCGTTTAAACAAGTGAGAGAGAGAGAGAGAGAGACAGAAAACAACAGAATAAGAAGATAACCTTGATGAAGACCGTTTTCTTTTTATGATTGTCGAGAATAATAATTAAAATCATTCTAATTATGATAATAAACAATCAAATTAACATGACGTAGTGATAACAGTGGAAAAAGTCTAATGTGTTTTGATTTACAAATCGTTTGCCCTCAAGCGATTTAGTTGTGATCATCATCGAATTGAAGGTTATCATTGAGAATTGAATTGTTATCGAGAAGAAGGAAATTCAAGGTTCTCATAAAGCGAAAGATTATCAATTCTTAATTCGTTTTGTTAAATTTTTCTTCCAAATCTCAATTTGTCCAATTTTCTTTTTCGATTGATTTCTTTTCTTTCCTAATGTTAAAGATTCATTTAGTGTTCGATCAATTTTGTCATCGAAACTTTTTTCATTGGAAATATTTTAATTGCAAATTTCCATTGATTCTGTTGATTGCAACTTGATTGTCATCTATTATCATTAATTTCTGGGTCTTTTCATGATTAGTTAAACTCATTGCAATCTAATTGTTGCTCTTTCTTGCAAAGTTAAATCTAATCACAATTTAAGTGGATTAACTTAACTTTTTTTCCTTTACAAAGATTAACTTGATTTCTTTGTTATCGCTTTTGATTAAATTGATTGATCATATTAAACAATTAAAACACTGCAAGATTAAATTGCAAGCTACTTGATTTTTTTTTCGGTGAATTTTTAATTAACCCTCTTTGATTGTTAATTTCTTCCCTCACTTCAACAATCAATTAATCACTTCTGATGAATTTGAATCATTCAACTAATTAGAAGTTATTCCATTCTCAATGAATAATGCAAAAGTCTCTCTCTCAATCTAATTTACACTCTTTAATGAAACATCTCAAACTGAATTAAATAGTATTCTGAAAACGATAAACAAAAAGATACACAATAGATTCAGGGTGGTCTGAATCAGACAGGTTTCATGAGAGCGATAGAATGATGAAAACAAAGGTAATGAAGGTATTGATTTCAATGCGATAACATGAAGACTCCTAAATGAAACGATACTAAATAAGATCAATTATTGTTAATCTCCTGTCTTGTTTTCTATCAACTTCTCTCTCTCTCTCTCTCATTTACTACTTAATCCATTCATCATCTCATCATTTTCTTATATTATTTTTCTTCTTCTTCTCTTTTTATCTAAAGGATGATGATATTAGACAACTAGAGCAACTTGTAACTGAGAAACGGCAACAACTTCATGATCTCGAGGTAAGTTTGTATACATAAATTTTGTTTCTTTTTCAGGGTTAACCTTATTAATGAATCTTTTTGTTATGTTATTACCTGATCTTCATCGTTGCAAGAATGATAATGATGATGATGATCATCTTTTTTTCCAATCTTCATCAATCAGCTGAGTTTTTTTTTCGCCTGCAAAAAAAAGTGGTCATTTTTTTGTTCATTTTACTTTGAATAATTGAAATGCTTCAACCTTGGTTAGCTAATTGCAGAACTGGCTGGAAGATGTTGTTGTTTTCTGGGTTAATTGCAAAAGAGAATATTTTTTTTTCTAATTTTTTCTCTTAAAAAAATCATTGCAATAATTCATTTGCAATGTTCATCATTTCCCTTCATTTGCTTTTCTCATTTTGTTTTTTTTTCTTCTTGCACTTGATTAGTTGATAATTAGCAGAACGGTAAGTGATTGAATCGTCAACATCATGAATTGAGTATCATCATCATGAAGAGAATGGTAATAAACACAACTAATATAAGAAAAAGAAGAAAAAATTACCTTGATATTAGTCGAAGGCGGAAAAAAAATTGAGTATCCAACAAATGAATAAATTGTAGAGATTAAAATAATATGATTTCTATAAATCGCAATTAACTAATTGTGATAATATGATGACAATGTTTCTGTTCATGATGACTCAAACTCTCACCAGGAAATTGAGCAAATCTCATTAAATTTAATGCTAATTATCATCAATATCTTTTTAATATCTTCACTTTATTTGTTTTTCGTTTGTATTATTTTATTAATTCAGTTAATCGTTTTATCCTTGTCTCTAATCATTAATTACAATCATACAATTAACTTTGATTATTAACTATGATATTATTATAGATTAACACACTATCACAATGTAATGAATTTGTCAACCAACAATTAGAATCACTAATAAAGTAATAGTCACAGTAAAGATTATTAAATTAAGAAGAAAACAAAAAGTAACATCAATTAACCTCGTTGATTTAATTGAGAGATAACCTTGAACACTAATCATGATGATCTTGAATGTGATAAATTTTGATTATTTTCCGATAAAAAAAAAGATGATGAACAAAATTTGAACAGAAATGAGCAATGAAAATGTATCAACATTTTGATAATAACCTGAATATAGAGATGATAAACTTTTCCAGGACAAAGAGGAAGAGGACGACAGACAGAATGAAAGAGAGAAGATGATGAAGATGCGAAAAAGAAGGTTGTTATCAAGGTGTAATTGAATGATATTCATCATCTTCGTCATCTCTCTCTCTCTCTCTCTCTCTCTCCATTTCTTTGATACAAATTGTCATTCAAAGGAGAGTGAAGCCCGGGAGCAATTTAGCCCATCATCTCAATCCCAGGTTAACATTAACTTGATTTTCTGTAGTCAAAATCTAACATCATCTCCATCTCCATCTCCATCTCCATCTTCATCTTCATCTTCATCTTCATCTTCATCCTCATCATTTTTATCTTCATCTTCATTCTCATCTCTCTCTTTTTATTTCTTTTCTTAAATCAATCAACTTTCTGTACTCTTTTCTCGAGCCAACTCTTCATTTCTTCTCCTTTCATCATCATCTTATTTTCTTCTTCTCTAATGACTTAAATTGATTACAATTAATTCTAAACAAGATTCCATTAATTACTTCGAAAATCAGAAAGAATGAGGTTAGATTTAAATAGTTAGTTAGCTTGACCTGATCAACTTTTCTTCTCTTCTCTTCTCTTTTATTTTATTTCTTTTATTCGCTTTCATCTTCATCTCCATCTCCATCATCCTCATCATTACCATCAAACTTCAAAGTTCAAAACTTTTGCCTTCATCATCTTCATCATCCTCCTCATCCACTTATTTCCAGCTACTGTATTACAACAAGGGAGCGTTTATTATAACAAATACAGGTAGCTAAAGATACTAAATACAAATCCATTGCCAACCAATTAAGCGTTAACCCAAAGTTAAGCAAAAATGATTAACTTGATTGTGAGAGATGCCCATTAATTAACTAACTATATTTTCGGGTTACTTTTTTTTAATTATTTCAGCTATTGGGTTAACAGAATAACCAATTACTTTATTATTGCTTTTACTTTGGTGTTACTTTAATTTGTTTTTCTTTTGACTCCTCTAAGCATCACCATCATCATCATCATCATCTTCCTGATCCTCATTTTCATCATGGTTATAATTATCACAATAGATTTTGATCACTAATCATTGTAGTTTAACAATTGAGTTAATTGGTTCCAAGAATAGGGAGAGAGACAGAGTGAGAGAGAGAGAGAGAGAGAGAGAGAGAGAGAGAGAGAGAGAGAGAGAGAGAGAGAGAGAGAGAGAGAGAGAGAGAGAGAGAGAGAGATTTGAATTGGATAATTTTGAGAGTCTTAATCCATTTCTTGTGATTTCGTCTTGATAGTTACTAATGTAGGTGTGGATTCGAGTGAGTTTCAATGTTGCAAAGGCGTGAGTAAGTGAGTGAGTGAGTGAGTGAGATGAGGACATAGACAGAGATTGAATGAGAGATGAAATCAATGAATGATCAATAGCTTAATCATCTTGATTCGTATTGATGGTGATGAGGATGAGGATGAACACAGAAATAAGGAGTAAATTGGAGTGTTAATGATGCCAATAAAAAAAAATCTCTCCCAACATTTTATCTGTTAAAACAGAAGCTAATTATTGAGATTATTGGGAGTGGCTCATCTTTGACTCTTCTCAGACATTTTCAATGTTTTTTTTATCAATCTCTCTATTTCTCTCATCTGCATCATCTTAATCTTCATTCATTCTCATCCTCATCCATTATAACATTTACACTGTTTAGAAACAAAGTTACAATGGGAAACCATATATTACTTATTCTGACAAGGAGATACTCTGATTAGCCCTTTGTCTACCCTTGTCTCAGTTTCTGTTTGAGAATTGTTTATATTACAAGAGAGCATTTCCTAAATTAAGAAGATGAGAGAAGGATAAAAGAAAGAGAAAGAGAAAGAGAAAGAAAGATGAAGATGAAGATGAAGATGAGATGGATGATAGAAAATGGGAGATACCAGACAGCGAATAATGAATGTGCAAAAATGAACGAAAATGTTAAAATCGGTTCAGCCTTTTTATCACTTTTTCTCATATTCTTTTTAAGTATCAAGGAAGTAAAGATGAAGAGCCGTAAATCGTTGCAAAGCCAAAGATGTTTACATTTATCTGTATTCACAATTTAAGATGAGAATGATGATCAGGACGATAATCATCATCACCATCATCATCATTTTCTTTTTATGTATTTTAAGAGGCAAAAAACCATCAGAGAGCAAGAGAGTTAGTATAGCAAACGAAATGATAATAAAAAGTACTAATAAATTGCTCTCGTTTCCTATTGATTCCTGCTGTTAAAATTACTATTGTTTTGATTGTTATTAATCAATTTTAAATGTTAATGTGAATTTCTGATAGATGATCAAGTTTAAGGTTAATGATGAAGATAAATATTAACTGAAAGAAAGAACAAAAAAAAAGCAATTACAAATTAAAGTTACATCTATCAGAGGAAAACTTTGTTTCTCTTTTCCAATTAGAATACATCAACAATAATCATACATCATTTGCCTAAAGAGAGATGCTTTTTTGTTTTATTAATAAATTGTTCTCCAATTGGGAAACAATTAAGAAAAAAAAAAAAAGTAATTTACTGTTGAAACGCAATTTCGATAATGGTTATTCATTGATTTTAATTTCGTTGCAACGATAAATTTTGCAATCAGCTAACGAAACGAAAAGATAATCAAACGTGATTATAATTACATAACAAATTCCATGATGAGGTAATGATATTAATTAGTTTCTCTTTTTTTTTCTCTTCCAATTTACAAAATGTAAACAAAAAGATTCATTAGTGTAATTGAAACAAAAGAATAGAAATTAAAAGCGACACCAAACGATCTATGGAAATAACGGTTTTTTCTATGGACAAAAGAAAAGAGAAAGTTTCGAAATAAAATCGTTTGGTTGTTTCTCTTTGTTTATCTTTTGAGTCTCGAGGTTTTAATAACAATTAAATCATTTGATTCTCTTGTTAATCAACTTAAATTGATTGTGTTTAATTCTGTTGATTTGATTTTCTTTTGTTTGCTTGTTATTGTTTCTCCTTCGATATCTAGTCAAGTATGGAAGTGCTCAAGGAACGATCATCAGCGACTCAACCCTTAGTGTTTTTCCCCTATTTCGATGGGCGAGGTTACCAAGGATTCCCAGGAACCACATCGACCTCTGGCCTGGTAAATTCATCACCCTCACCTTCACCTCTTTCAACCACCACAACAATAACACCAACAACAATGATTGGTGATTCTCAGAACAACCAACAAAGTGGTTTATCACCATCATCATTTCATGGTCATCACAATCATAACTCTCATCATCATCATTCAAAATCAACCACAGCCACATCATCATCATCATCACCATCACCATCATCAACAACCACAACAACACCAACAACAACAACAACAACAACCTCAACAACTCTAATCACACCAACATCTCTTGGTTCATCTTCATCACCTTCAGCAACAACAACAACAACAACAACAACAGCGATTACCGGAACAATATTAACATCTTTATCACCTTCATCTTCATCACCTTCATCTCCATCACCAGTGACATCAATACTTTCCTCATTATCTTCATCAGCCTCATCAAATAGCACAAATCATCATCATCATCATCATCATCTTCAATCCCATCCAACTCATTCAATTGATTCCTCTTCAAGTCCAAACTCCCACCCCAATAGCCGATCCACCTTACCTTTAACGGCCAATGGTTTGACCATATTAACATCAACAAGCCCAACAAATAATCACAATAATAATAATAATAATCATTCAAGATCAAGTCCAATGAACAAAATAATAACAAAAAATGAATCAAACTCTTCTGGTGCAAATGAAAGTGTTAATAACAATGTGATTAACAGTTTGACCAATGGTGTTGGTAGTATTTCTGGTATTAATATAACTTTACACAATGTCAACAACATCGGTTTGACTGGATCATCTTTATCATCTTCCTCTTCTTCCTCTTCCTCATCTTCATCTTCCTCATCCACCGGAAGTATACTCAATGGTACCAATGGACCTTTAAATATGAAAAGATCATCTAATTCAGATAATAGTCGACCAAATGTAAGTCTAAGTTAATCGCAATTCATAAATTATCATTGATTCGTAATCATCATCACCATCACTCTCACCTAATCCTCACCTCATCATTTCAAGATTATCACTCCAAGTGAAATGTCAATGAACAGAGAGAGAGAGAGAACCCTTAACATCAATGATGATTATTAATTATCTTTTTTTTTGAATTTGAATATATAAAGAAGATGAAGAAACTATAAATTATTTGTTCTAATGACAATCAACATTGAACCTCCTCATCATTAGTGATTATTGTTAAATTTATCATTAAAAAAAGGCGAATACATTAGCAAATTATTACATTAATGATGAAATTAAATTATACAATCAACATTATCATTAAACAAAAACTGATTATTACCTTATATTAATAATCTCAATTTTGTTAATCATATATTTTGTATCAGAAATTTGAACAAAGGTGAAACAAAGCTTATATTATGGTTAATGATGGTTAGTAATTAGTATGATGATGATGATGATTATGATGATAATGGTGATGTTACCGCTTCTTCATTGATAATTATCATGATTGTACAAATAAAAAGGTTTCAGTGTTGTAATAATGAACAATCAATGAAAAGAATGAGTGAAAATCTTTTGTCACTTGTTTGCTTCTGGTTTTACGCATCATAGACACACCTAAATCTCTCGTTTTGTGGTTGAACTAGTTACTCGTTAGAACTTCAATTATTATTATGACGAATCTTTTTATCTTCCTTATCATCAACTAGCGATCATTCCAGTGTATCTTAGTTACTCTCTCTCTCTCTCTCTCTCTCTTCTCTCTCTCTCTCTCTTTTCTTACCTGTCTCTTATCTCACTCTCAGTCTCTTGCTGTTATCATCTCTTGGACTCTGAATAGAGTTGAAGACTTATAGCATTCATTAGGAAATTAATGGGTAAAAAATTGTAATTACACATCATTTTAGCCTCAGGGCTTATTTTCGCTCCCCTTATCTCTATCTGTCTCTCCCTCTCTCTTTCTCTCTCTCTCAATCATCTTTAAAGTGAAAACAAAAAGAAAAACAAATGAGTGAAAAAGAGACCAACTTGATATGAGAAAAAGAGAAGATAAAATGGATCAGAATATAACCTGATCATCTTCATCTTCATCTTTATCTTCAACCTCCTTCTCTCTCTCTTATCATCTTTATCGTTTTTCAACCATTATTACAATTAATTCTTTCGGTATCATGATAGGAAATGATGATGTTGATCAAGATAATTTATCCTCAGGGAATAAAAGTCTTAGACAAAAGTAGAAAAGATGAATAAACAAGATTAACATCGAATGATAATCAAAATAATAGACCTTTAATTGTCCTCTCCTTCTCATATATACACCTTAGATTATCAATAATGATATTGGAACAATTAATTTTAGTAAACAAGCATGAGAATAATGAAAATGATGTAATCAGATGATTGGTTTACAGTTTGAAACAAAAGATGATGATGATGATTATCATCATCATTATAATCATGTTGTAACAACAACATTTATCGCTATTATTATAAGATTCCTCCTTTTTCAACGTAATCGATATTGAAGATAATAATAATAATCAAAAGATTAAGAGTCAACAATTTGATAATGATGAAGATGAAATTAAGAAGAAGAAGACAATTAAAGGTCTATTATATTTTTAGTGATAATGATAATGAAGATGAAGAAGACGATGAAGATGAAAAGCTAAGATGATGGTCTTGTTGTTGTTCCTTTCTTACTATGACTTTCATTCCCTGAGGATAAATCATCATCTTGATGATGATTTCCTATTATGATATCGAAAGAATTTAGGGTGGGATATGTAAGAGAAAAGAACAACAAAAAGTTACAATAGAAAAGCAAAGTGTCCTTGGGGCTACAGTCGATCGTAAAATAATAGGGTCTCTCTCTCTCTTCATCAGCATCAATTTTCATCTTCATCTATTAGGAGATGATTATGATGATGACAAAGAGAGAAAGAGAGAGAGAGAGAGAGAGAGAGAGAGAGAGAGAGAGAGAGAGAGAGAGAAAGAGGAAGCTAGAGGCAATGTTTCGTTACTTCATTTAGTATTAGGACAAACAGAAAATCAGCAAATTGTTGTGTTCATATTCAGGGTGCGGCTCAACAGGTAGAGAGAGAGAGAGAGAGAGAGAGAGAGACGATTGAAAAATATGCAACCATAATTACGGTTGCAAGTTTGGTTGTTATGTTGATTGTTTGTGTTGTTTCACATTATTATTAGAATTATCATTTTTTTATTATCATCATCATCATTATGATTATGATTATTATGTTGATGATTATTATTAGTAGTAATTGCAGTGAATCTGTTTGTGTTGGAAAAGGAGGAACCAGTGTCAATCTTAATTGTTTATCAAGGATCGACAAAGAACACGCAATTCGCCCTTTCCCTTTACTACAAATTGCTACTGACTGTTAATATCATCATTCTCATCATTCTCATCATCATCATCATCATCATCTTCTCCATCAACAATATAAACAATATTATATCAATAACAAAACAGTGAAACCAGATATGTGAGGTTACAATTGTTTCTAATATAATAATACATGTCATCATTTTCATTGATTCAATATTATTGACAAGTAACCAGAAAAAAAAGGCTTCAGGTTCAATTGAATTTGATTTGCATGGGTACAGGTTGATTATTATTATGATAGGTAAAAGATATTAACTCAAGATGCTAATATTATATATGTATGTATGTATGTATGTGTATATAATATTATATTATATGTGTTAATTTGATTCTTGAAATTTTGAGATTTTTTTGTTGACTGAATTGTTTCATAATATTGTTGACATTTACCTTGAGGCTTTCTCATGAATTTTAAATTTCAAATGTACAGTTGAAAGTTACATTGAGACAGGTAAACATTTGAATGGATATTATTATTATTATTATTATTATTCATTGACAACAAGTTATTTCTAGTCTCTGGTTAAGGTCAAATGTCAATCTCTATTATTATCGTTATTATTATTTCAGTGCTTCTCATGATATGGAAAAAGTTTAACAGTGAAAACTTATCATGATCAACAATCAACTCTACTCATGCTGATTGCAATATATATTGATGAGCTCTCACTCTCTCACTCTCTCTAGCTCTCTTCCAGGATGAATTAGTTTGATTATCTTATCGACCTGAATGGTTAGTTGCGCTTGAAAATTAATCGTTGATAAAAAAAGTCGATAAGCTGAAAGCTAAACGATTTTCGCTATTTATTACTTTTCCTTAGTTCGCATTTTCGTCATTTAGTACTTGTTACTTTCCTTTCGCTATCAACAATCATAATTGTGATTCGTTTGTGGGCAACTAATCAATTGTTTGCCTTGAAGCGACCTGATTACTTGATTATTGTTAACTGGCTAACGTTGTAACGTTAATTGTAACAATTAAGAAATAATTATATAAATGATATTATGTATTATGATTGATAATAATTGGAAAATGAGTTTTTCAAACTTTTCATAAGATCAACAGTTGAAAAATTGTCTCCATTATTATTAATACATATTGAAACTTTTACATGTTTCTAAATTGCAATAACTTAATTATGATTTGAGAGAGAAAATTTTCAATCTGGATATTGATTAATTGTAATTACGATTAACTTTTTCTCGCAATAATAATTAACTTGACAACATTATCAAATAAAAAAAAAAGTTTTCTCTCTAAGTCATATGTACGTTTCAGTGAATAGTTGATTGAATTTGCGTTGATTGTTGATTACGAATTGATATTAACAGTTAGAATAAAGAATAATTTACTTGGTTGGTTTTTTGTTTGTTTCGTTAAATTGTTGTTAATTGTTATGATTGATTGAGCAGCGATCATGTTAACTGTTTGATGATGATGATAATAACATAAGGGAATATCTTTTAGTTTGAATCGTTATCCATGCTGATGGATTGATGAAAATGATAATTGAAATTAGAAGAGAGAAATGAGTTATCCTGAAAATCAGCTGAGCTTTTCAGGTTATTAATAGTAATAAGAATTAATCTATTAAGAGGTTTCGGTTTAGATTTGCAAGGAAAATTATTCTAATTGCAAAAGTGAAAGTTGTTGTTGTTGTTGTTGTTTTCACTATATATACGTTGGAAGATGATGGTGATGGTGATGGTGAAGATGAAGAAGAAAAAAAGATGAAGATTAAGATGAAAAGATTTGTAATCATAATTAGGATTTGAATATTATTTATGATCCTCTTTGCTTTGTGACTGGAAGAGAAAACTAATTTACAATGATTGTTACTGATTTAGAAATGAATTATTATATTTATATGATAAAGATGATGGAGAAATGCTAATGGAGAGACACTGAGAATCTTCAGACAATGCTGACATCGATAAAGTATCAGGGATTAAAAATGGATCCATGAACATGAATCACTCGATGAGACACATTCTAGTTTTGTGTTAGCATTTCAATATAAAGATGAACAGAAAATAAGAAATAAATAAATTTAGATCGTTAATCTAGACTTTTTTTCTTCTTTTTTTTTATTACTTAGTATTTTCTTCATCTTCATCATTATCATCAGCATCTCTTACGCATCTTTAGATAATTTTGCTTTGAAAGATGAGCGAGAGAGCAAGGGAGAGATATATTCTTGTAAAAGGAATAGGAAAAAAAGACATTTTTCTCAAAAAAATGACTTAAAATATTGACTTGAAACCACAAGAAGATGAAGAGCAAAAATTATTCAACTTGTCTCTCTCTCTCTCTCTCTCTCTCTCTCTCTCTCTCTCGTAATTGACTTTCATGGATAATCTCATCATCTTCATCTTCATCTTCATTTGTTTTTGTTTGGGGCCTAGAACATATATGATAATACCTGGGGCGATATTTTGTTTTTTTCGCTCTTTTATAAGAGAGAGTAAAGAGAGAGAAAAGAAAAGAAAAGAAGACATTTTAAATTATCAGTTTTTCTATCCCAAGGTGACTTTTTCTTACTATTTGACAATTATCCTGAAAATCACTTGAAAAATTATCATGATGGTGTTTTCTCTGTGTGTTAACTTTGTCACATTATTCTTGAATGAACAATAATTGAACGGGAAGAAAAAAAATTCCAACGATTTTCATTCTTAAAAGGAAAGAAGAAGAAGGAAAAAGAAAAAGTTAATCAAATTATCTGTTAATTGTTATTAATCATGTTTACAATCAATTTCTAAATGATGTTTATTCATAATTATTGATTATTTATCGTGAATTATTTTTCTATTAAAAAGGTAATGTGATAAAAGATTGGGAAATGATTGACATGATGAATGAAAAGTAGTCACCTTTATGTTTACCTGTTGTTAAATTTTCTTAAATTGATTTAGTTTAGTTTGCCTTTATTCAATTTACAATAACAACTCACCGGGATAATAACAATGAAAAGAAATGATTAGTATTTTGATTGGATTAACAAAACAGATCAATTTGTTAATCTCTTTCTTACCTGTGGCCCTTGAACTCGACTTATTATCACATGTTATCATTTCATCTTTACCTGTGTGAGGTAACCACACACAAAGAATTTTTCTTTCTTCTCTCTATATAATTTGTTTATTACTATTATCAAGATGATGATAACGTTAAAGGTCAACTAATGGTCATTTTGCTATTTTTTTTGCTGTTCTCTTGAGAAAGATTAACAATTAATTACTTGGGATAAACGTAATTGACAAATATTTTTGATAATCTATCACAATTTAACTGATTGTTGATCGTAATTTTGATTGATAATCACTTGAAATCTTTGTTTTCTGCTTCATTTAACAAATTGGTAAAAAAAAAGCAAATTGATTGTTTCAAATAATCTGATTTTCTCACCTTTCTCATCCTTATTATCATCTTCATCTTCACCTTTGAGATGACGTTGATGATACTTGATGATGATGATGATGATGATGATCATCTCAAGAGTCTCTCTCTCTCTCTCTCTCTCTCTCTCTCTCTCTCTCTCTCTCTATGGTTACTATGGATTTTTTTCTTATTATTTCCATGAGTTTATCTATAATTCATTAAGATCCTTTGATAACTTTGACGATGAAAATAGTTACCTGTATATCGAAGGCGTGGTTTACTTGGATCATCTTTTTCTCTTCTTCTTCTCTTGAGACAATAGATTTGTGTTTTTGGTGAAAGAATAAGCGAGAGAGGAAGAGGAGGAAGATATAAAAGTTCTTGTTCTTGCGCAGAGTTAAAAAGAGAGAGAATGAGAAATCATGAGAGAAAGAGAGAAAGAGAGAGAGAGATTATTATCATCATCATGGAACAGGCGTGGTTACTACTTTTCTTCTGTTCAGATGATCAGGAAAAGAAGAAGAAAAAAAAAATGCTCAACAAAAGAGAAAAGAAAGAGATTAAACTAATAGTAGAGGTGGAAGAAAAATGAGAAGGAGGCGGAGGAGGAGGAAGAAGAGGAAGAGGAGGTTTTCATTATTATTATCATTTGTTATCATTCTTATAGGTTCTGAACAAGGTGGAGTCTCGAGTACGATGAAACAATTGAAATGATATGAATGGAGCTCGAAAAATAATAGTAGTAGTTGTAGGAGAGTGAGAGAGAGACAGAAGTAAGAAAGTTATGAAAACTCAACGAGAAAACATTTACATGATTGTCTTAATATGATAATCAAATGGTGATAATAATGAATCTCAATTTGAATAGTTGATTTGAAATTAATTTGTTGAATTGTTTTACCTCATGAGATGATAATTAAATTACAGCAAAGTCATTAAGTAAATGTTTAATAATTGCTTTCAATTACAATGTAAAATAAAAACAATCACATCAACAAGTAAACCGGGTAAAAGCAATCATGTGAATTCATGGGCTCATTAAATGCACGCAATCAACAAAAAAAAAAGATTCTGACAAAAGTTTTGATTGCTTTGTTATCATTATGATGATGATGATAATGATGATGATTATTATTATTGCTTGTTGACCATTGCGTGCATGTTAAATTACATTAACTTTTTTCATTTGATTTGATAAAACAAAACAAAATGATCAACATTTAACTTTAATCACAACAAACTCACCTTGTTGTTTATTATCATCATTTACCTTTTGTTTACTCAAATAGCTTCAGATCATGATGATAATCAACTGAATTAACTTTATTATTATATCTCTTGGTCTCTCTCTCTCACTCTCTCATTATTCATTAATAGTTGAAGCCTTAATTTGATTTGATTAACATTATATTTCACTTACTATTATCATTACAATCAATTATTCACGTTGACGCTAATTAAAGGTGACACAAAAATCTTTCTCTTGATTAACAATTTAATTCCCATTTGATTATCTCTCTCTCTCTCTCTCTCTCTCTCTCTCTCTCTCCATCTTCAAGTTAATCTAATTGTAATATAAACACAATTAACCACTCAAGTAATAGTATTGTGGTTATCATTGCTGCTGTTGTTTAACTTTAACCAACAACAATTAACTTTGTTGCTCCTCTTAAATTGTTGTTGATACGAAACTTTTGTCACTCATTGAAATGGTTAATCATGAAAGAAAAGACAATCTTAATGATAACAATTTACTCTGCATATAACAATTAATTAACAATCAAGTCAAAACTATTAACTGTTAAGCCACAAATTGTCCTCTAAATTGCTTAAAGTTTAACCACAATTTAGATTTAATTGAGATCAAATTAACTTGTTTCCTTTTTGTTTGTTTGTTTGTTTCTCATTCACGATTAACATGATTATCCACTTTTATTGTTAATCTTTCATCATCATCACCTCACCTTAATTTTGTTTGTCTGTTTTGAATCTAATTAAATTTAACTCGATTAACTTGATAATTAATTATCTCTTTTCATTTTATTTTTGTTCACAGAGTTTAACAGTTAATTGTGATCAACGTTTTTCATCACCTAAATTAGATGAAATTAGCAATAGTTTTAGCAATAGTGATGACGATGACGATGGACCTTTGAATCTGAGTAAACCAAAATCTGATGATAAACCAAGTTTTAGGTATGAATTTATTGATCAATTGTCCAGTTTCGATGAGGTCAATCAATCAATCAATTGGATTAATTACTTATCGATAATATTATTGATATGATTTATTTTTTTCTCAGAAAATCTTACCTTGGATCAGGTTCACGTTCACCTCCAAATGCTTCACATTCATCATTAGGAGCTGCATCAAGTCCACCCTTCGCATCAACTGTCGCAGCCATAAGCACCTCTTCATCTAATGTACATAATTTTAATCACACTCTTACTACTCAGGAACAGGGTGGTAACGGTGGTGGTTCAATGCCAAAATCTTTATCGGTGCCAAGTTCACTGTTATCAGGTAAATCACCGTTAGCTGGATTACCGAATGGCTTAAACCCTTGGTCAGTTGGACCTTTAATGTCCAATTTTGGTCTTTACGGATCTATTCCATTTAATCCGTATCGCAGTCATGGATCATCTGGATCATCATCATCGGCTCATGGAAATGGTTCAACGGTAACCGGAAATAATGGTTCATCAATCATTGGTAACAATGGTAATGGATCAAATTCTGGGCAAAATATTGGTGTTAATTCACAAGATCATTCTCCCATGTCTACCTGTGACAAACCATTTCCATTTGGTATGTTCCCAAGTGGACTTGATCATGCTACAGCGGCTGCAGCGGCAGTTGCAGCGGCAGCCGCTGCCGCAGCGTCAACTAGGTCACCAGGACCAAGTGGTAATGGTAATTGTAATGTTAATAGCGGTACAAATAATGGAAATAATTGTAACGCTAATAGTGGTTCTAATAATGGAAACAATGGTAACACGGGAGGAGAAGGTGGAGGAAATGGAGGCGGATCAACAGGGCAACAGGGTAATGGATCGGCGATTATTATATAAGAATCAACAATAAGAAGATGCGACAAATCTTGACAGAAAAAAAAAATTCAAAATTCTCTTGTGTCACTCTTGTCACTTTTGTCAAACTTTTCTAATTGAAATTATTCATATTCTCTTTATCTCTCTAATCATTATCTTCCTGTCAGTTATGTTCATTGAGAATTAGAAATGAATCATTTATACATATTCCAAATTTTCTGTCATGATTTGAACCTTAACGTTGAATCTTCGTCTCTCTCTCTCTCTCTTATTATTTTCTATCATAAAACTAATGGAATATTTTTATTTTCTCTTTGGTTGATTTCATCGATTCGAATTGATTAACTGATGAACCAATAGGTGCCAAGATAATTCGACAAACCAAAAAAGAATCTGAAGGTAAACCTCATATTAAAAGGCCAATGAACGCATTCATGGTTTGGGCGAAGGACGAAAGAAGAAAAATTCTCAAAGCTTGTCCGGATATGCACAATTCCAATATATCTAAAATTCTGGGTAAGCAAGTTAACGATTACGTTTGAATAATAATAATAATAATAATATTTGATGATAATATTTTTCTCTCTGACTAATTTGGATTTTGTGATCTATCCTTTCAAGGTGCTCGATGGAAAGCAATGCCAAACGCTGAAAAGCAACGTTATTACGAGGAACAGTCTCGATTGAGTAAACAGCACATGGAAAAGTATCCAGATTACCGATATAGACCTCGACCTAAACGAACCTGTATAGTCGATGGTAAGAAATTGAAGATCAGTGAATATAAACAACTAATGAGGCAAAAACGGGAAGAAATGCGAAATTTATGGTAAGTTTACAATTAATTTCGACAATCAAATGTATATACAGCACACAGAAAAAGAAAAGTAAAGTGTATATTGAACAGAGAGAGAGAGAGAGAAAATTCTGATTGAATAATATTCTTATAGGAACTTCTGATTTGGAACCTTTATACTTTTATACTACATTAGCTTTCGATACCATTGAATCCATTACCGATCACTTACAGAGATCAGATGAAGATTTGTTTCCATGGAAGATGATGAGGAAGAAGAAGAAAAAAAGATGGAGAAAAGTATAAAAAAAAAGTAGAAGAAGAAGTAAAGAATAAGTGACATGGAAAAAGTAAAGAGAAAAAAAAGTGAAGAGAAAAAGAGAAATAATGTCCAGTGAATTGTGACAAATGAAAAGAAAAGATGATAACCTGTAGACTGGGAGTGATTCTCATCTTCCTTTTATCTTCCATCAATTGCATTTCATCATGAAGAGAACTGAGATCATGATAAACCATTAACATTCCATGTTGTCCAAACTTTTCTCTTCATCTTTATTCTGATGATGATAATCATCAATCATTGAGGAAAAAAAAGTTATTCTCCTGAAAAAAGTTCCATTTTCTCATCGAAACAAAAAAAAACATCTTAGTGAATGAAAGAAAGAGAGAAAGAGAGAGAGAGAAAAAAGATGAATTCGATTTTGAGAACATGTTTAATTGACTTTTCTGTCGATAATGATAAGAATAATATAATGATTTGTTTTTCTCATTAACAATTAACACAATTAATTAAGTTACTTTGTCTTTGAATATAATCTAAATTCAATTTCTTTTTTTCCGTCTCATCATTATCTCTTCATCATCAATTTGCATCAATTTTTGTTTCTCTTGATTTTTACCTGATTGAATTTCATGGAACACACAATCAAACTATTATCATTATTATTATCTCATGAATATAATTAATTGGCAATAATTACATTAATTATCATCAAGGTATAGTGGAGGCAATAGTGGAGCATTTCCTTCTGGTTCATCTCGATCTCCATCAGGCTTTATTCAACCTGGTTTCCCGGATATTAGCTCAGGTGATGAGGATGCTGATGATGATATTACAGAAGATGATTATTCAAATGCCATGGAAACATCACCGAAAGCATCTTCAGGAGAGGAGATGTCACCTTGTCAAACACGTTAATTTATATATATATAAATATACAATTCGTAATATATAATATATATTATTAGAACAAGGAAAAAAAAATATTCAACAAGAATCACAATCACAATTCAATCTTCATGTTTCCTCAATCCTTTTTTTTCTTGTTTCATCTCTTTGATCAGCTGTTGTTATTTTAAATCTCTTTTTTTTAATTAATATCATTAATTTGTCATCATAATTATATTATAAAAATTATAATAGAAAAACAAAGTGATTACCTGTGGTATGTTTGTCTCTCTCTCTCACTCTCTCACTCTATCTTCCGATATTCAATTTTCATTCATTGAAACTTTTCATTGAGAAATCGCAACAAACTTTTTCCTTTTTTTTGTTCTTCCTCTTGTAAAACTCATCAGATCGATTTCCAATTTCATCGTATTCTCATTAAATTTCATTCATTAATCTTTATTTCTCACATAGAAAACAAGGAGAAACATTGAAATCATTAAATTATCATCATGTTTTTATTAGCATTATCAATACACAAACAGGCACACAAACACAAAGTTATCACTCTCAGAATAACAATAACTATTATTATCATATTATTATTATTATTAAATTGCTATTTAGAATTGCTATTAGAAACAATCAAACAAAACTCTGAATATCATGAAATGTTATTCAACACAACTCTCTGTCTCTCTCTTTGCTTAATTAGTTAATATGTGTATAAATATTACTCACGATTAATATCTGTTTCAACTCAGCTGATTAACTGATTGAATGTTTGTTAAATAACATGATGATAACAAGTCACCTTCCCGCCTTTTCCATGTTAAAAAAATAAATTCTGAGAATCTGAGCCCACTCAAAATATCCTCGTTTTCTAATCAGGCTTATGTTGATTCTGAGGAAAAGAATAATAAAAAAAAATTCTTTCCATCGAATCGAGTTTCTTTCGAGTCTTAAAATGTTACATTGTAGTTAATTCATTCCCATTCTTTTCTCATCCTCATCAAATCATCTTCATCTTCATCTTTCATCATCATCATCTCTCTTTCTTTCTCTCTTCCATTTATCTATTTCTCTTTCTCTTCAAGTCACTTTCTCTCTCTCTCTCTCTCTCATCATAATAATAACCATAAAACGCTAACAATACACATAAAAAAATCTCGAAAACACCGAGAGAGTAACAAGAAACACTCACGAACAACACACATCATCTTATGTAAATATTTTCGATTTTCTATAAAAATAGACTTGTAAACATTAAACGAACCTTGTATTTGACAATTCTTTTCACTTATTAATTGCCGTTGATCACAATGTTCCCCCAATGTCAGTGATTAACTAAAGTTAATTGATCCACCCAACCAAATATCACTTAAGATAAATACAGTAACTGTCTTAATCATCATCATCATCAGTTAATTTTGGCTTTTTCCAATCGGCAACTCTGATGATAATCATGATGCCAAGAAAAATAGATTTACAAATGTCACTAAATCATTTCAATGTTACTTTTAACTTGTCTCCTTTTTTTTTACTTTGTGTTCATTATCCTGTAACCATGAAAGGTACCACAACTTAAAATGGATCAGTTATCAAGTAAAAAAGTGTTTAAATTAACTAAAAGCTTTAAATTAATCAACTAGATTGACAATTTTCTTTCACAATTAATCTTAATGACGTTTCTCTTTCTCTGTAACGATTAGAATGACAACTTGACGAAAATAGTTGATCTTTAATCGTGAAGATGAGGTAAGTTCATTTGATTCAGAATTACGGTGATAATATTTTTTGTTTTTTTTTCCTCCTCGAAAATTGATTCCTAACAATTGAGATCCCAAAGAGAATTGAATTGATCATGATAATTACCTGATACGATTTCGTTTGTTGTTGTGTCACAATTAAAATCTTCAATCTGATGAAATTGATTGGAGGTAATTTTTACATTAGAAAATCAGAAAGGTAAAATTAAAAGTTTCCCCTTAACCTTCACCAGGTAATTAATCATATTATGTGTTAATACACCCGAAAGTTGAGTTGATTAATTACTGATTAGCCGATTGATTGTCCTGAAGATAATTACATAACTATTACACAGTTTTCGCGTTCCTATTGATGGTGAAAATGAAAAATAAAGAGATGAGGATGAGGGAAAGTTTATCAATTCCATTATCTTTATTATATTAGGTGAGAAAAGAAAAGTTTTGTCAACTTTATCATGTCTTTTTTTCATGGTAATTATCATTTCTTAATATTTACCAATTAGGATGATAAATTTTCCTCTTCAATGTTATTACTTGAGTTGACTATTTTCACTATGATTAATTTAGTTATCTACTAACTTTTTTTTTCTTTCACCGAGTAACCAGAAAATTCAAGGATAATCGTTAATAATATACAAGGTTATATATTCTGACTGATTAATAATGAACAGTAGCTGAAGATAATGAACAAAAAGTGGAGATATACAAACAGATAGGAAAAAAAGTTGGGTGGGAACTTGAAGGTTCATCAGTTGAAATTAACAATTAATCTTATGTACATGATGACGATTCATGATGTCTATCTGTTAATCTCTGAACAATTTCAATGGATTTCGGGTTAAATCAAAAATAAACATGAATTAAATATATTCAAGTGATAAATTTATCACCGAATCAATTGATTGTCACTATGGATTTACCTTTGAAAGTCAATGGATCAATAAATAAGAGGATTACATGGATAATCATCTTGGGAAACAATTCAACTGTTAATTTGTGAGCATAATGATTATATTATTATTGTTACATGGATCAATTAATGGTTCCATTAATTGTTGAACTAATAAGAAAAAAATAGAAGAGAAAATTGAATTTGAATTTGATTCATTTTCGAGGAAGAAAAAAAAACAAAACTCTTAACCTTATTGGTGAACCTTTCGAGGGTCAAACTTACCCAAAGATGTTTGGACTCATTTCCACTAAATGGTCACTTGGAACGAGCTGATTTTCCGCCTATTAGAACAGCACCTTTGGTGTAAAACTTTAGGTGTATCAAGTTAAATACCGTGGGAAGTGATGAGCAGAAAAGGGAAGGTGATCAGAATGATTTCCATCAATTGAACTACTCACTCGTTCAATTAAACTAATCACTTGTTAATCATCATCATCATCTCCTTCATCTTCATCTTCATCTTGATCATCTTTTCTTGTTTTCTACCTTTTCTAACAGGTTAATTTTTGGGTTAGTCCAATGTGATTACATTTTCAACTTTTCTTATTATTATTATTATTTCTCATGATTATTATTGTAACAATTAATTCAATTACAATGAATTTCAAAGATTTATATGATAATCATCCTAATATAATAAACACGCAACAATAAAAATAAAAGATTTGAGAAACAAGAGTTGAGTGAATAATCATCTGAACCATTTGAGAATCCAAGGGTCAGTAATCATTGTGATGATTAGCTTTTTATTAAGAGATAATTTTATCTTCCATGTGAACAGAATTGATGATCAGCATGATGATAATGATGATAAGAACCAATGAACAGAGTGCAGATATTAATCCGATTCTAAATTGGAAAAAAAGAAAGAAAAAAAAAGTTCAGACACTGGAACTTTACAACATTGGAACGTTTTTTTTTCACCTTAGAATTTTCATTTTTCTCATTTTCTTTTTTTTCTTCATCTCAGTCAATTCATCTCTTTTGAATTGATCATCATGCCAATTGAGAAATGATAATACTCTCAAAATGGGTGCAGTTTACATGATGTTTGTTGATTAATTGTTCGGTTCTCAGTTACAACAATTAAGGTAAACCTTTCGATGCTAAGAACGTGCTAATTTGACCCTTTGTCAAGAATTGGCTACTCACTTACATGATGAATATAACATGATGATGATTTGCCAACATCAATTGTCAATTCTCAACATTTAAAACATTTAAGATATTGATTAAAGATGAGGATGAAGATGAAGGTTGAGTAATTGATAGCCGAAAGCGGAAGTGTCAATGAGGATAACATGGGATTGATTGTAATTAGGAAACGTGCATCATGTTACAATTTGGCATCACTGGTAATCAGACATGAGAAAAGCAAATTGAATGAGCTTCAAATTGACACAAGATTTGAAAACGTTTACATTTAGTGTTTTTTATCAATCAAAAAGCTTTTCCAATGTTTATCATTATATTATCACATTTGATTTCGAAAGCTCGTTTTTTTTATTAAACTAATAGTTTTCGCAATGTTTTTCTTTGCCATCATTTCTGTTCATACGATTAGGTTTCAGTGGATAATGATGATGATGTCGGAAGAGAAAAGAAAAAATCATTCGGCGGTAAATTTAAAAATAATCTTCTACTCTAATTATCACCATAATCTTAATTTTCATCTTTTCTTTTCTTAACAAGTTTCAAAATCTTTTCTACAATGTTACTCAATAGACAAATGCAGGCACACACTCACACTCGAGAATTGTGAGTTGAAGGAGAGAGAAGCGGATGATGAGGATTAGGATGGAGATTAAGATGAAAGTAAAAGTAATATAAGATTTTCTCTCTCATTCTGACTCCCTCTCTCTCTCCTTTCATCTTTCGTTTGCATTTCCATTTTATCCGTAAAATTGTTTCTAAAATTAACATTCATTTTCCAACCTTCACTTGTATTCAGAAAAGCATCTTCAGCATCCTCATCTTCACAATTATCTTCATCTTCATCTTCATCTTCATCTTTATCTTTTTCCTTTTCTCTTTTTTTTCTATCAATAGAAATCATCATCTTCTCATTAAATCGTTAAATACATTTCACCACATTTCAAATCGATAATTTTTCATGTGACTCTGATTGATAATCAATATAACATTTTCCTTTCTCTAATCAATACACCAAATAATCATCACCATGTAACCAGAAATCAAATCAAATCAAATAAGATGAAGGAAAAAAAAATAATAATCAAAAATAATAATAATAAATGAACAGATATTAAGAAAATTCAATGTGACAACAATTAAGTAAAATGATTCAACAATCAGTTAATGATTAGTTATTCATCTGTTTCATCATTTGTTTACAAATTGAATTGTAACACTCATGATAATATTGAACAGAAAATCAGTGAGTTAGTATTAGATTATCAAGAACTTTCGAGTGTGAGAGAAAGAGAGAGAGAGAGAGAGAGAGAATGGTTTCAATTATGATTATGAAAAGAAATGACAGAAGCCAAAGCAAGTAGAGTGAATATAATAACGATAATATATTGTGAGCTTCATGGTGACTGAGATTACATCTGAATATGAAAACAGTTCTAAAAATAACAGAAAATGGAAGCAATTTTTTAACTTCATCTTCGTGTTGGTTTTGTTTTTTTGCTTTGTTTTTCATCATTTTATAAATTCATTTGCATTTTTCATCCATTTCATCATATTCATAGAGCATAATAATGATAAACATTCAGGAAGCTCATGCAAAGATATGCCTGAGAAACACACATTGTATTTATATATACACAAGAGACTCTGTAGTCTCTGTAGTAGGAATGTAAAAGATACTTCGGAAATGATGATAATTTAATGATTAAGATATTAAATGATGTATCATTGTCTTTGCCACTGTGATCATCATCATTACGGATGTGATATTATCTTGGAAGATAATTAAGTTATTAATTCTCATATACTTAGAGGATATTGTTTTCCTTTACTTTGTTACATGGAAAAGTGAATAATGAGATTACAGGGGAAAAGTTTTCGTTGCAGTTTTTTTTCACGAAAAAGTTTATGAAATTGTTTCGAATCATAAAGTAAACGATCATCACGTTTATCTTTCGATAACTTTCTCTCTCTCTTATTATTTTTCTCTATTCATTTTGAATATTTACTTAATTCTGATTTTCTGTGAGAAAGAAAAATATCAGATTTCTCAATTAGAATATCAAAACTTTATGGTGATTCCTTTTTTTTTCTTCATCTAAAAGAAAAATAAAATTTTACATGATGAATTCATGGAATCACGATAAGTGACAGAAAAATACACATTATTCTTTACCGAATATTCATATTATTCTTGGTGAAAATTCATGACAAAAGAATTTACAATCTGAGCTTATTTGTAAAAATCTTTCTCGATCAAAGTTGAATAACATTCACTTATAATACTAACTATCTGTACTTACATATATCAATTACTTATAACACTTATATCAATAGATAGATTTTAATTTAATAATAATAATAATATAATTCTGTTGATATTAATATTGCATAAAGTATGATATTATTATCATTAT